AGCTGCAGAGCACCCCCTGACCATATATTTCAGAAGGCACCGCCTGACAAGGAGCCCAAGCCCTGCATCAGACTTGGCTTTGGTCCTCTGCAGGTCTCGAGGATCAGTTTCTACATTTATCCATCAGCCAGGGGAAAAACAAAGGCAGAGAAAAGACCTCTGCAACTTCAGCACAGGGCAGAGGAACTGAGCTCTGAAGGGAAATTGCTCCCGGCCAGCTGCTCCCAGCCAAAGATGTCTTTCCGCCTCTACACTCCCATACCCTAAAACTACTTGGCTGATCACCAGGCAGAAGAGCTGATAAGCTGGGAAACTGCAGGGGATAGAGTCAGAAGCTGTGTGAAGAAGCTAGAGCAGAGATAAAAGATGAATCCTCCCTATGACACGACAAAGCTCTTCCTCTGTGACTGCAAGCATCATGCTGACAGCTGCTTCACCATTCTTGTTCTCCTCCCTGCTGTTAAAGTGAATTTTATGCCAATGGGTGGCCCCAGTTTGACAGTCCTGGAGAGTGAGATGCTCTGTATTGCTCTGCAGAGCCAGAGAATGGACAGCAGCCTCCCACCCTGAGATGCTCCAGCCATGTCCAGAACGGGGGAGATGGATGCATGAAGGTGATGGGTCAGAGTCCAGGCTCCATGCTGGTGGTGGGAAGATGTGCAGGGCTCACTGCAAGCTGGGTGCCAATAGTCTTGTGGCCTTTGGGAAGAAGCCTAACACTGAGTTTTTCCAAGTTTGAGGGCAGTGGGCATTTATTGGGACAGTATTTAGCGTGCATTCAGTATGACAGATGATATGTCAGGGGTGTCATTGCTATAAATAAGCAGGGATGGAACCCCTCATGCTAGAGGGGTAGTCATTCCCAAGCGGAGTTTCTATTGTACATCTGTGCTGCTGAAAGCCTTGAAAACATCTCCACTGTCAGAGGTAAAGTGTCTCCAGATCACGTACCTTTGCTGTGCTTTGCCATCATGTTGTGGGAGATCTAAGTTCAGCCCACTGCAGCAGTATTGGACAGAGTCACTTAGATGCATCAAAAGTGGTAGAGATTGTACTTCCAGCCTAGGAAGTGTAAAACCTGGGCCTCTCTGTGCTTTTCCAGCCTGAAGAGGTTTGAACAGCCTGCCCGCACAATGATCAGAGGTTGCATTTTGTAGTGCTGGGTAGTTATACAAAATTACTGATGTTCTGCAGTATCTTCATCAGTGACACGGCAGTGGGACGGAGCGCACCCTGAGCAGTTTGCGGATGACACCCAGCCGTGCGGTCGACACGGCCGAGGGACGGGATGCCGTCCAGAGAGACCTGGCCAGGCTGAGCGCTGCGCCCAGGGGAACCTCGTGAGGCTCAGCACATCCAAGCGCGAGGCGTCGCACCCGGGTCGTGGCAACCCCCGCTGCCAGTACGAGCCGGGGGACGTAGGGACAGAGCACGGCCCTGCCGGAAAGGACCTGGGGGTGCCGGGGGATGGCAGCCGGGCGTGAGCCAGCAGTGTGCCCTGCGGCCCAGGCAGCCGGCCGGATCCTGGGCTGCATCCGAAGCAGCGCGGCCAGCGGGGCGAGGGAGGGGATCCTGCCCCTCTGCTCTGCGCTGTGACACCGCACCTGGAGCGCTGCGTCCACAGCTGGAGTGCTCAGCACAGCAGAGACGGGGGCCTGTTGTGCTCCATCCCTGCAGGCAGTCAAGGTCAGGCCGGAGAGCCTCAAGCACCTGATGGAGCTGTAGGTGTCTCTGTTCATTGCAGAGGTGTTGAACTAGAAGACCTTTAAGGGTTCCATCCAACTCACACAATTCTATGATTCTATGATTCTGTGATATCAGAAGTCCCTGCTTCTTAAAAGAGCAGGTGATTTGGTAGCTAAAATTTCAAGATGTTGGGAACTGACTGCTCCTGCCAAGAGGACCTGGAAGGGAACTGCAAGTAAGGAGAAGGTTTTAGTGTTGGCTAAAAGAAGAGGACATATCTTCCCCCAAATGAAGGGGTTTTTCTACTACCACGTTGCTTGCACACTCTGCATAGCAAGACAGAGGTTTGAGTATGAGTCAGTGCTGCAAGGAGAACATTTGAGCTGCCACATGTGCCTCTGTCAGCAGTGACGTTCACAGACATGATGGATGTGACACCGAACACCTTGAGTGCACTTCAGATTCAAGAAGTTTGGGGGTTTCCATGTATCACAGAGAGGAAATGATCCTTCAGTAATTAATCAAGGAAGTGATTAATGCATTTTTATCTCAGCTGAGATTTAGCAGTGTTATTTCCCAGCCACAGCTGGAGGGAAGGAAGATAATAAATCCTGAGTGGCAGGGGGAGCGGGTACAGGGAGAAGTCATTCAGTGTCCTTCACAGCACAAGTACTGGGGGCATAGTGAGATTGGCAGGTGGCAGATTCAGAACAAGCGTCTAGATTAGCTGTGGGATGTTGTGAGTGCAAAGGCCTGGAAAGTTGCTGGAGACATCAGTGAAAAGCTACTCTTATGGCAGAAAGCCATAGAATCACAGGATCTTTTTAGCAAGAAAGGACCCTTAAAGGTCACCTGGTCCAACTCCCCTGCAATGAACAGGGACACCCACAGCTCCATCAGGTGCTAAGAACCCTTCCAGCCTGAGCCTGAGTATCTCCAGGGATGGAATACCCACCACCTCTCTGGAAAACTTGTGCCAGTGCCTCACAACCCTGATCATAAAAAACATTTCTCTATATCCAATCTAAATCTCCTCTCTGTTAGTTTGAAGCCATTTCTCCTTGTCTATCACAGCAGACTCCACTGAAGAGCCTGTCCCTATCTCTCACAGAATCACAGAATCACAGAATCACCCGGGTTGGAAGGGACCTCAAGGATCATGTAGTTCCAACCCCCCTGCCTAGCAGGGCCACCAAACATCCACATTCAGATCAGGTTGCCCAGGACCCCGTCCAACCTGGCCTTGAACACGTCCAAGGACGGGGCATCCACAACCTCCCTGGGCAGCCCGTTCCAGGGCCTAACTACTCTCCTTGTGAAGAACTTCCCCCTAACATCCAACCTAAATCTTCCCTCCTTCAACTTGGATCCATTTCCCCTAGTCCTGCTGTTGTCAGCCCTTCTGAAGAGTTTACTCCCCTCCTGGGTGTAGGTTCCCTTCAGGTATTGATAGGCTGCAATGAGGTCGCCCCGCAGCCTTCTCTTCTCCAGGCTGAACAAGCCCAACTCCCTCAGCCTGTCCTCATAGGGGAGGTGCTCCAGCCCCCTGATCATCTTAGTCGCCCTCCTCTGGACAGCCCCCTGTAGATACGGACGTGCCGCCCTCAGGTCTCCCTCAGCCTTCTCTTCTCCAGGCTGCACAGCCCCAGCTCTCTCAGCCTGTCCTCACAGGGAGCTGTTCTGTTGAAACACAGGTTACAGTTCAGTGAGAAATATCAATTCGGTATGCCAGCTCATGCTCTTGCTCCTCTCTTTGCATCTGTGTTGCTGTGTTGACCACATGGATGCAGAGCTTTGGGACGATTAGACAGAGCCGCTTTCGTGCCGCATTTGATGGGAAGGCTGGTGGAAGTCCAGGCATCCTGCTGTCATCTCCCCCACTGGGAGCTGTGGGGCAGCTGATGCAGCTCCAGCTGTGCAGCTGCATCGAACACGTCCCCGCCGCCCACCTCCCCCGGCTGTGCCCGTGTGATCATCTGCTGCGGCACTGTCTGCGGCAAAGAAAATCTTGTTCATTAAATGAAACGCTTCCAAGAAGATTTGTCATTTGCATCACCAAGACTAAACAAAACCCTTTATTTGAGAAAATAATAAAATAAAATCAAATCATTACCAGCACTGTTACTTCAAACTTGTAGTGATAAACACCCAGACAGAGCTTTGCTAAATAATCTTGCAGCCTTACTTCTGCAGCAGGCGATAAAGCAAGAAAAACAAACTACCTGGAATTGGCAATACACCAGCCGCCACTCAGTCAGCTCAGATAGGAGTTAATTATTTCCTATCGGCCAGCTAGGGCTGGGAAGTAAGGAGCAATGATTTCAAGGCTCTTCTTGTTAAGCAACAGCAACAAAAAAGGGAGGATATTAGGATTATTGTCTGCCTCTTTCATGGAGAGTAACAGGGATGGTTGGAGCAGAGCAATTAAGGAAGAAGGGATTTCATCTCAAGCAACTGAGTTAATGAAACGAGAGAAATGTCTGTGAGAGGAATCCTTGAAAATACTGAGGATAATGCAGTTTATCATAAGGAGGATATTTGAATAACAAAGATTTCAGCCACTTATTGTAGTGCATTGATGGAGACACACAGTAGTGAGAGAAACACACACTTGGAGCTTGAACTGAGTGTATTCTGCTGGGTGCAGAATGCACCTCTGGTGCATTTTCCCTTCCCATCTTTCCCACCAAAAGCTGTCTTCACTCACTCCTCCAGTGTGAGAAGCTGTGCCCTGTGCTGGACATGGGGGACCTGCTTCTGAGCCCTCCCCTACACCACATCACTCATGGAAGATGGGGCCATTTTCCTTCACTGGCCCATGACAATGAAGCAGAATATTTTTTCCATACTTACTTCTGTGTGGTACCCAAAGCAAACTAGTATATACCAGTATGCATTGTGGATGCATCTTAGGTCTGCAAATAAACACCCAAAAGCTCTTTACCTACACAGATGGCTTCCAGACCAGGATTTTCTCTCTCTAGACTAAGATTTCTCTCCCCATTTCAGCTGTGTCTCCATTAGCAGCGTGAGTTTTACCAGTTAACGCTATGCCACAAAACGCCTTGATGTGAATTTGATTTATACCTTTGGAGTTATTCCTCTTCACACATGGAAATAGTTACATGGGCATAAGGCGCCTTTATCCTGACATAACCAAGTCCATGCAGAGCAGGTTGTACCACACTAAACAATACCAGCACTGTTGGAAAGCATAGACAAGCCCTGTACGAGAAACTCCTTTTAAGACTTCTGTTTTTTATAAAAATGGCACTCCTTTCTTCTCTAAGTCTAATGAAATATGATACAGGAAATCAACAAGGCATCGGATATTTATTAGAAATGTAACCTAAACCTGAGAAACATGTCACTGCGATAAAAATACAGATTTGCAAAGACAACAGAACATGACCAAATGCTTCATGAGAAATAAATCAGAGACTACCTTCAACTCATTATCAGAAAGGTGACTGTTCTTGATTCAATTTAATCATGATTCCTCAAAATAAGACCTCATTTATACCAGGAAGAAGCTGCCAAGGGTTATATTGCATTCACCTTCTAGCAAATTCCTCATGTAGGATCGAAGATGCTTTCCTCGGCTGAGGACAGACTGACAGAGTCATTACAGGATGTCTGGGCAGGCTGCAGTGGGGTCATGGTGCCATCGCCTGCCCCTGCTGACCACACCATCCAACGCACTGTAAGAACAGCAAACCAAGATCTTCTCCGAGTGACGGTGGTGCTGCAAAAAGAATTACAGACACGTCCAGTTAATTATTTATGGCCCAGTTCACAAAGGTCCTTGTGTCAGACGCGGATTTATGGGAAGTCACACATATACATACTTGCAGGCGTGTAACTTGTGCCCTGGGTCTGTGCCAACCCCACATTACCTTTTAAGCAGCCACCGATGGTGTTTATCATCGCAGACAGCAAAGCTTTATCATCTCAATGAATATCACTGCCTTTCTGCTCCCTTTGTGTGATTCTATGTGATCCGCTTTGGGCATGGGGTCTCTGAACACCTGTGGTGTGGGCTAGGACGCACTGCCTGAGTGGATTTATAGGTACATTGCAGACTGGAATCATCCTGAGGGACATCCTTGCTCCCACCAGGAAACTGGAGACAACTAAATGCAGCCATGGGTGTTGCAAGACCTCAATGATCAAACTAGCCATCAATCCCAGGCAAAGGGGACACCTGAAGATGTTGAAACCTCCCTTCAGTGCCCTGGTCTGGCAGAATGGGTGAGCAAGCAGCTCCCAACCATAGCAGCTTGATCAGGGTAGTGTCTCCTGAAGGTGCTGGGACAGTGCCAAAGCATTGCAACCAGACTGGCTCTGTCTATGATACCACCTGTGGCCAAGTTCTCTGTAAATGCCATGTGAGTGAGGACGGGTCTTTGTTCCCAGAAGGAGCTCCACTTGAAAAGCTTTGTTCATCTGAAGCCCTGTGATCTTTAGGAATATAGAAGCATTGGGGCAGATCCTGCTTTGTGAAAGACGGATGCTGAAATTAGAGAAATTCATTGAAGAGATGAATTCTTCTCTTTGAGGAGCTCTACAACAACCCTTAGCAGAATTTTACCATGATGTTTAGGAGATGAACTGGTATCTAGGCCACACCAAGCTGGACACTACAGGGGAAATCATAGAATCATGGAAATGGTAAGGCTGGAAACAAGTTCTAAGATCATCTAGTCCAACCGCAACCCATGCCACTATGCCCACTAACCACATCCCTTAGTGTGACATCTACACACTTCTTGAACATCTCCACTGATGGTGACTCCATCCCCTCTCTGGGCAGCCATTCCTTTTTTCCTAATATCCAACCTGAAATGCACCACTCACATAGAGCCTTCAGTGCTTCCAAGAAACTGCTATGCCCACACCAAAGCTGGACATCTGTGTGCAAATATTTCATGTTTAGATAATCAAATCCCATCAACTCAAGTACCAAAATCTAGTATCAAATATCATTCACAGCTTCTATCCTCCAACCTTACCCTTGGAGTCTGTGATATCTCAGCAGCCTTTACTTTAGCATCCCATCAGAACTTGGCTGCAGTCAGTGGCTCTCCTGGGCTGCTGCCTGTTGTGGTATAAATGCCTTCAGCTCAGAAGGATGAGATGGTGTTTCTATTGCTGTGGTTTCTTTTCCAAGCACACGAGATTTTCCAGCTGGGGTTGAAAAAACATGAAGTCTCTTATCCCCTAGCAGGCTAAGGGTCTTGTGACCACTCTGTCCGCTCTGTACTCTCTGCTCCGTGTCTGTCTCAGTTATTTGTGCTTGGCATTTGGATTGGTCTGTCCAGCTGGGAGTGCTCAGACATGCATCTGTAAGCCTAGCTTGCTATTACGAATTTTATTTTCTTTTGTGAATAATATAGATGAATAGGTTTACATTTTTTATAAGCTAGGCCATAATTCACACAGCTAAAACACAAAGCTGTACTTTGGCTGTTGTTTGCACACGTGATGCCTGATAGTCCTAATGTTGCACAGCTCCCAGGCTACACAGATGTGTCAGACAAAGCATGCGGGGAACAGCAAAGGGAGAAATATCCTCCCAACAGGGACCTGGCAGTAGTATCATCCTCTGTGCTCCCTTCAGCCACAAGACAGTAGTGTGGTTTTGCTTCCCCATCCCTGCATGGTGGTCTTCCCTGGGGTGGCTTTGTTAGAAGAGTGATAGACAGTGCCAAAAGAGCAACCTGTTGTATGTTGTATTGTAGCACACAAAAGAAAACCTCCACCTTTCCCCTGCCCAGCCCCTTCAAGGTCAATCTAAAGTCGCAGAAGCTCAAGCCTTAACTATAAACACAATTCCTCAAAAGAGCTCCCCAAATGTCACTTGTTTTGCATCTGCACCTGCTCACTCTCGCTGCCAAAACATAGCCATGAATATTTGGCCTTTGAGGCTAAGACCTTGTGTTCCTGCCCTGTCTCCAATGAATGTACTTACCTTTTATCAGCCAAAACACGTTTAAATGGTGTGTGTTGTTATTGCTTCTTAGCTCTTGTACGATCTAATAGAAGCAGAAATGGGCATCGCTCTTGCGCTGCTGCTCAAAGCCACACAAACTCCCCTTCTGACAGCTTTTTCCTCCGTAGGCAGCCTGGCTCACCTTCGGTAAAGTTGTACTGAAACTTTGAAGCAGCTGCCTTCTCAAAATCAGCTTGCTTTTTCCATCCAAAGGACTTATTTGGGCTTGTTCCTTCATGTTGCACACCAGTTATTTATGTCAGGGTGCGATACAGTGGCATTGAACCACAATGTCTGTTTTGTACCTGCACTGAAAGATTGGCACCATAGCAGCATTTGTTTGAACTCGTCTGCGAGCAGGCTGCAGTCTGGGGCTGTTGGTTTTGATTTGGCTCTGAACTGCTGGCTCATCTCCAGTAGCTTAATGGTCTTCCTGCAAAGGTACCAGAGCGAGCAGAAGGGGTAAGGAACAGGGGCTCTGTTTAAAAGTGGGGCTCTGATCCGTGCAGGGACTGAATGTTTGCTAATAAGAGCTCACAGAGAGGCCAGCCTTAGGCTGTGCTGACCCCAAGCAAGATTTCAGCTCTGAGCAGAATAAATATGATTTATTTTTTTTTAACGAAACAAGCTCCACATGCAGAGTGCAGCATTGCTCCTCAGATTACATCTGTGTGGAAGGAATTTCCTGTAGGACAGTGCTGGTTGGAGGTCACCGCTCACCGCAACCACATCAATGCATCCAGAAGTTTGTAGCCTGCACTCAGCCCTTTCTCTTAAGGACCCAGCTTGAAGTTCAGCCTGCATGAGGTCATTTGAGGTTCCTGGTGCCACTCTGGAAGAAGGATGTGCTGTATCACCTGCCTTGGCACAGAACTGCTGTGTGGTGGGTGGCAGAAGCTGTCCACCAAAGTGCACCAATGTAAATTGCTGAGGATGGAGCCCTTGATGCCTCATGAAAACTCTTTCACTGATATCAACATCTTGACATCCTGGAGGCACCTGAAAGGTTCCCTGTGGCTTGAAAGTTGGTCTTTCCACCTCAGTTGGGCAGCAGAACATCATGGATATGCCTCCATGAAGGAAGACACTGTGCAGGGTTACTACAGCCTACTGCACACATCAATCTAGGGCAAATGAGAGGCAAATGGTAACGACAGCATTGGACACCATGCCCAGGAGCAGAGCTCTCAGCACATCCGAGCCCTTCAGGGAAGAATGTATGTGCTGGTATGATCACCAAACCTAGACGGAATAGGGAATCTTATTATTTGAATAATCCACCTTTAAAGACAAATCTCCACCTCTTCACTCCCCAGGTCAGTAATAAATGGTACTGCTGATCATCCTGAGGTCCCTTCCAACCCAAGCCATTGTATGATCCTATTATTTTATGTCAGACTTACCCCATTCCAGTGCAGGGCACATTTTGCAAATATCCCCATCAAATATCAGCCATTCAAGAATATTTATTCTTTGGTTATTTTTCATAAAGCTCCCCATATCTTGTGACACTATGCTAGAAAGTGGGAATTAATGTGGTGCTGCTCAGCTTCCCTCCCTTTCAGCACACACAGATTGTTTTTTGTGGTTTTCTCACATTTTGGCAGGTTTATTTCTCATACATGCTCATGATTGCCTTCAGTTCTGATGAAGGTGGACTGACAGCCAGCCCCAGGGAATTAGAGCAGAGGATGCAACAGCAAAGAGCAAATCCTTCTTCCTGAACAATCCATCTCTCCTCAACCCAGGTGCCCCTTCTTTACACAAAAGTACAAATGCCTGCTGCTTGTGTGGAGCTGCAAAGAGCAAACCTGAAAGAAAAAAAAAATTGTAGTCAAAGCTTAAAGCAAATTTCCCTGAGAGCAAAGGAGCAGGTCAGCTTGCAGCAACTCTGCATCCCATCCCCAGCCAGGCTGTGTTCATGACTAATCCTTGGAAAGCCCCAGGTAGGGGTCGATAGGCAAATGTTATTCCCCAGGAGAGCAGCAGGGAAATTGAACCTCTGTGACTCATTCAGCCCTTGGCCCTGCTGCTGAGATAGCTGTGATGGAAATGCAGGGCACTGCAAGCACGGACTTCTGAAGTGATGCACTTAAATGTAGACTCTGGCCCCAGGTAAATGGTCTGATTGGAAACTAAGGGGAGCTGTGATGGCAAATTGCTGCTTGGTTCTGCCTCATGCAGTCTGGACATTGCATGGCTAATGAAGCAGGGTTCGTGCTGACAAGGATAAAAAACAACTTTGTGACAATCACCCTCTGCCTATGACCCCCAGGATGGCTATTCCCATCTATCACAACCGTGGCTGTGACACTGACACCCAGCTAGGGACACGGTCCTTTCCCTGCTTCTGACAATGCAGGTTGCTTGGCACCAACAGAGTTTTGTCAACCTCCAGACCATTTTCCCACTGGTACTGGGCTTAGGTGTAGGCAGACTTTGGGCTGTCCCATGCTGATCTCACCTGGGAATTTTCTGACTTGCATCTGACATGTCAGGATTTTTAAAAAAACTGCTAAAGTCACAGGAAAAATGTTTCTGGATCCAAACTGCCAAACTTATGATATGACTCCATGGGGTGCTGGGTGCACACAGCGTGTCACTTGGGCAAGCGGGGACGGGTGGCTGGTTCCCCTCCTCCCAGCACTGCTGTAGTTGATGTATATCCATCATATGCGAGATTCTTGCAGAGATGGCCCAGCCATGGCAGGACAGTAGGAAATGTCTTCATACAGGCAGTGATTGAGTCTCCAGATCAGCGTTAAGCTCAGCACTGGGGCTGGCTTGCTGTGCTGGGGAAGTGGAGATGCTTTGTGCTTCCACACAAGGTTATAGTGCGTGTGTGTACATGTATGTCTGTGATATTTGTGTGAGGCAGTGCTATCTTTGTTGTAGTTCTGCAATGTGCAGAATGTGCTTGTCCAGGATATGAGAGTGTGCATGTGCCAGCTCTTTGCCTGTGAATATACCACCTCTGCCAATTTGTGTCTGTGCTCACAGACAGTGCCCAGGCACTGTGCATATAAGTAAATGACTTTCTGTATGCTCAGAGTGTATGTCTATTCCTGGGACATACAGGAACCCTGTCCGCATGTGCCTGCTAAGTAGTGTTTGCATGCATTGTGCTGTTTGTGCACTCAGGCAGACCTGCCTGCCTTTCTCTCCATGCTGTGAGTTTGCCCTCTGGCTGCTCGTGCCTCCTCCCCTCTCTCTCTCATTTCCAGCTACCTGTGCTCTGTGCTTTGAATAAATGGTGCAGTTTGTTGGCCTGTTTCTCACAGAAAGGAGTCTATGTGGCTTTTCGTGCTTTTGATGGCTGAGGTGGCAACAGTCACAGCAAGAAGCAGCTTGGGGGACAGCACTCACCATGGGCTGTTGGTGCCTCATGCAAGTTTGGAACCAGAGAGATGCAAGCAAGAAGCATCTCGAGGCAGCAGGGATTGTTGCCAACTGCGTGGTGAATGGTGCGGCCCCTGCTCATGTGAGCTTCATGATGGGAAGGACCAGTCTTGTGCAGAGAAGTAACTAGAAAATCATCCAGAGGAAAGGACTGACAGCACTAACATTGCTTCTTGGCCCAATTTCCAAGTCTAATGTAAGTTGCAGGAGCAGGTGGAGTGAAGGAGACTGAGTGTTAAACCCTGCCATGAGACAAGGTTGTCTTCTTCCTGGAGAGGTACGGTTGTAACCTTGTTGTAGGTGCCTCAGGACATGGAGACTCCATCTCTTCTTTCCCAGGTAACCAGTAATAAATAGATGATGGCCTCAAGTTGTACTGGGGGAGGTTCAAGTTAGATATTAGGAAAAATGAGTTCTCAGAAAGAGCAGTGAGGCATTGGCATAGGCTGCCTAAGGGGTGGTGGAGTCACCATCCCTGGAGGCATCCAAGAAATGTGGAGATAGGGCACTGAGGAACATGATTATTGGGCATGGTGGGGATGGGTTATGGTTGGATCAGATCACACAGAATCACAGAATCAGAGAATTGTAGGGGTTGGAAGGGACCTCCAGAGATCATCGAGTCCAACCCCCTGCCAAAGCAGGTTCCCTACAGCAGGTCGCACAGGTAGGCATCCAGGCAGATCTTGAACATCTCCAGAGAAGGAGACTCCACCACCTTCCTGGGCAGCCTGTTCCAGTGCTCCGTCACCTCACTGTAAAGAAGTTCCTGCGCACATTTGTGCAGAACTTCCTATGCTGCAGTTTCCTTTTCCCTTGTCCTGTCTCCACTCACCACTGAAAACAGTCTGGCCTCGCCATTCTGCCCCCCACACCTCAGATATTTATAGACCTGGATCAGGTCCCCTCTCAGTCTCCTTTTCTCAAGGCTGAACAGACCCAGTTCACTCAGCCTTTCCTCATAGCAGAGATGCTCCAGGCCCTTCACCATCTTCGTGGCCCTCCGCTGGACTCTTTCCAAGAGATCCCTGTCTTTTTTGTACTGGGGAGCCCAGAACTGGACACAGTACTCCAGATGAGGCCTCACCAGGGCAGAGTAGAGGGGGAGGATCACCTCCCTCGACCTGCTGGCCACGCTCTTTTTAATGCACCCCACGATGCCATTGGCCCTCTTGGCCACAAGGGCACACTGCTGGCTCATGGCCAACCTGTCATCCACCAGGACACCCAGGTCCCTTTCCGCAGAGCTTATCTCCAGCAGGTCATCCCCCAACCTGTACTGGTGCATGCAATTATTCCTCCCCACATGCAAGACTCTACACTTGCTTTTGTTAAACCTCATCTGGTTTTTTTCTGCCCAGCTCCCCAGCCTGTCCAGGTCTTGCTGAATGGCAGCACAGCCTTCAGGCGTGTCAGCCAATCCTCCCAACTTCGTACCATCAGCAAACTTGCTGAGGGTGGCCGTTATCCCCTCATCAAGGTCACTGATGAAGATGTTGAACAAGACCGGACCCAGCACAGACCCCTGAGGAACAGCGCTGCTTACAGGCCTCCAACCGGACTCTGCACCACCAACAACGACCCTCTGCGCTCTGCCAGTCAGCCAGTTCTCAACCCACCTCACTGTCCACTCATCTATCCCACACCTCCTTAACTTTGTTATAAGGATGTCGTGGGAGGCAGTATCAAATGCCTTGCTGAAATCAAGGTAGACTACATCCACTGCTCTCCCCCTATCCACCCAGCCAGAGACAACATTGTAGAAGGCCACCAGGTTGGTCAAGCACGACCTCCCCCTGGTGAACCTGTGCTGACTACTCCTGATAACCTCCTTTTCTTCCAGTTGTCTGGAGATGACATCCAGCACCAGCTGTTCCATCACCTTTCCAGCAACAGAGGTGATCTTAATAATTCCAACCTTAATAATTCTATGACTCAGTGATTCTATTATTCTATTATTCTTCAGGCAACCTGTCCTAGCACTTCATTATTTGTAGTTAGAAGCTAGAGGTTTCCTAAAGTCTAACCTGAACCTCCCTCCTAGACTAGGATTGTGTCCTGTCCCCAGTGCCCATAAAAAATTCTTTTCTTATTTGAAACAGCTTTTCAAACATTTAAAACCTATGCTCACGTCTTGGATTTCTCTTTCAAGACTAAAAAGCCCCAGTGCCTTTGATCTTTTCTAACACTGTTTTCACTGCATTTCTCTGGACAGCTGCCAAAAGGTCCATCTGTCTCTGAAATACCGTGCACACCTTGGACACAATTTCGCCTCTATCCGGATGTCCAGGTTTCTGGACCACTGCATCTATTCAAAATTCAGTGCACATTCATAGCAGCTGAGAAACAGTGGTAGAGGTGAGCCGGGAAGTGTGCAGTGTGAAATCCAGAGTCTGCGGCACCTCAGTGTTTTTCTCCTTCCAGTCCAGGAGGAGAGCTCAGCAGCTGGGAACTGTTCATGAAGTGAACTCCTGGTTCCTGAGCACGCAGACCTGTTCTGAGGACAGCTGCATTTCATCCCCTGCTCAGAATCAGGGTTGGGGCACAGTCTGTATTTACAGCATCCTGTCAGTCATGTCCCCAGACAGAGGGGCAAGGATCTCCATCTCCATCTTCACCTCCCTGCGGGTCTCAGCTGCCCTCAACATGCTTTGTAATGGAATGCCAGTCTGGCAGTCAGTCAGCCAACTCAGGTGAGGGTGAAGCCCCAGTATCCAGTGGGGATTCTGAGATGTTTTGACTGCCTGCTCTGTGGAGCGGACCTGAGGTACTGAGACAAAGTATAGAGTGATTTTCAAGGGACATACGCTCACCAGCTCCTGCAAGACCCACTTGCATGCCATACCCTCAGCAGGTGAATGCAGAAGCCATGAAATCCCTGCTTAACACAAAGGAGTGCTGACTGTGACATTTTCTTTTGCAGTACGAAGGACGAGAAAAGGCTCTGCTTTTATTCCCCTGCTCCACACACTCCATCAGAGCACGACCAGCTCTGTGCCCCCCTGGTGCGCTGCTTCCCTCGCTGCCTGTGGAGTGCATCTCTCCATGGGGAGCAGGGTGACCTTGCCTCAACATTGCACAGTGCCAGCAGATGCTTCAATGAGATGTTTTTTTTTTAGTGGAAGGAAACCAGTTTGGCTGGGAAGTGCAAAGCCAGTGATTTTGCCCTTTATTGGCAAGGTGTGTTCTTGTTTTTTTTATTTGTTCCCCTCGCTCATAGATGTTTTAAGAAAGGGAAAGAGGGAGAGAAAGTGAATGAATGAAAATTCATTAAATCTACCCAGTAGCTTAAATGTTTGTATCGTGTCTAACTGCCTGATCCTGCCATTACCTTCCTCTGCATCCTGCTGTACCTGCAATTCAAGAAAATTGCCTCCCAAATTGCCATCTTTAGTTTGAGATCCACGTACAACTTGGCTGTAAGCAGCGGATGGAAATGAAATGGACTAAAAATTTAATCCAGCCAGGATTTCCTTGTGTTTTTCAATAGTCCTTGCTGTCAAACTGTAAGTCCTACTTATTAAAGGTCATGCATTTTAGAGAATGAGGCAGGGAGAATTACAGAAACTGACATCTTTAGTGGCGCAACTAAATAAAAAAAATTGATCTTTGCCTGCATCTACACATTTGCCTTTGAATACAAGCAGGCAGAGCTATCTAAAGTTGTGTTTGTTACAGTGACATGTACATGCAGAAACCTTTGGGAGAAAGCTTCAACGTCCAAGCTGCTCTGTGATTTGCCCTTAGAACGGGTCTAAAATCCCTTTGCTTCACACTTTGGTGATCGGATTTCATCTCCTAATTTGACCTAACAGCCTCTGGAGATTAATGAAAATGTCCATGTATGACTTTTTTTTTCTTCCAAGTGAAGTGCCCCTCCACCCTCGACTTCCCTAAGGAGGTTGTTAAAAATACCATTTTTGGAAATGTGGTCCTGGTTATTCCTCCCTTACTAGGGATTTTTTAGCTAAACCACCACTGTCCTAGTTTCTAGTAAACTCAGCTTCACACACAGATGTACACACTAATGTCTCGGCTGCTAAACTGGCCCTCAGATCATCTGCACCGAGTTCTTCAGTTCCCAAAAGGCAAACCCTTGCCTCTAACTCTCTTTCTCTTCCTTTCTCCACTTCTTCCTTTCTCTCAGCTTCCTTTCAGTAAATCACTTATTCATAGGACCATTAATTTGAAGGTTCCAAAACTCAAATGCATAAAAAATAAATGTAAAAGAAAGAAAACTCATTGCTTCGGAGAGCAGTGGTGAGCCTGGGGAGACATGAAGGATGTGGATGAAACAGAAGGATGGAGTAAATTCATGGAAGAATGTTCCTGTGGAGAATCATTAATTGCCAATATATCATTTCTAGCTCAGGATGTCCCCGATTCTCAGATTGCTGAGGTTTGGGACAGCAGAATCATAGAATCATAGAATGGCTTGGATTGGAAGGGATCTTAAAGATCATTGAGATCCATTGCCCTGCCATGTGCTGGTTGCCACCCACCAGACCAGGCTGCCCAGGGCCACAGCCAGTCTGGACCTGAGCACCTCTAGGGACTGTGCATCCGCAGTAGGCTTGCCTAGTTCTTCTAATCTCATCTTGTAATCTTGTTGGCCATCCTTAAGAATGGGGACTTTGGATCTGGCCCAGGTATGATGACATCTGGATCCAGAACATTGAGCCCCTCAGGATCCTGGAGGGTGTCATGGCATCTCCTTGTGGGCTCCTAGCACAGATGAAGACACCAGGACCGTGTTCTGTCACAGCAGGAAGAGGTGGAGGCACCTCCAGATCTGCATTCTCATGCAGTATTTATCATGTATTGCAGCTGCCTGCCTCCTTCCTCAAAGTCTCTGCTGTTTTTGGGACAGACTACAGATGGAAAGCCTGCATGCCAGCCCCCATGTGCTGACATCACCAGCAATTGCCCTATGGACAAGGGTTGAATGCTTCTGCCCTGCCACTTCTGCAGGCTACCTCATTGTGCCCCCACAGAAAGGACAGGCACAATAAATATTCGTCATGCTTGCACTTATGGGTCTATTAAAAGCTACATTTTTTTTTCCCCCAAGGTAAGTTCCTCTATTCTGATTATGCTAACGGCCTACCAAATCACTCTCTTTAAATATGCTGTCGCCCCAGTGATGAATGCAGCTGTTGGAGTGGGTCCTTTCTGGCGTTAATCGAATGCTTTAATGAAGTCAGCATGCTGTTCATGTGCATTAAAATACTTGGTCCCAGCCTGAAGAGGCGCAGTGGCTCTCTGGCTCTTGTGCCTCTGCACCAGAGGTAAATAAAACACTTAAGGCTTGTGCTGGGAGGGATGAATATCTAATGAAGTTTTTATTGCTGCTCATCCTTTTAGCTTCCCCTCAACTACTTTTTTAAGTATTAATGGTCTTTCATGCCTCCCCTCCCAGAATTGCATGGGTAAGCAGCACAGGCAGGCTCTGATGGCTATTTTTTCTCTTTCATTCCCACTAGGTGTGACAAACTAGTGACTTTGCCTTCAGAGCTCCCTTTACAGGCCAGCATCTTCTTGAAGCAAGGAACACCGACCAGAGTGAGAGAGCAAGGAGGGTAGAAAGAGAGAGACAGAGAGAAGCCCAATGGGATGGTGGCATTTTGTATCCAGGTTCCCTAACTTTGTACCCATGAGGATTGTGGTGAGTTTATGGGAATGTGGGCATGACAGAGGCTTTGCTGAGGGACCTCAAGCAGGATGGGAGAATGTTTGGTTTCAGAAGCATACAATATCACT